TTCTGTGAATAAAAGTAATTTTTTTCGTCATTTTTTTTATTATTTACAAAATTTTTTTTAATATTCAATATATTTTTCATAATTTTTTTTTCAAAAAATTTAAGAAAGAAAATTGAATGCAAATTGATAAATATTAAAGTTATTTTATTTTTATGATAAATATTTCAAGTATATTTCACTTTATATTTCAAGTATTTTTTCACTGGTGAAATAGCCAATGTTGTAAAATATTGACAAGAATATTATATATATTTATATATATTTATATATAATATTTTATATATATTTTGTTCATGAATATTGTATGCTTAGTTTTCAATATTTTCGAAATAAATTTTTAAGTTACTAGCATATTAAAAAAGCAAATTATGATTAACTTCTGAAACATGTTCAAAATATTCTGGCACAATAATAAAAAAATATGTAACAAGAAAATATGAAACTGAAATCAAACGTTTCGAAACAGTCCAGTCTTTCATTATCTCTACAAACAGAACTAAATTTCTATTTTATTTATCATTCTTTAACGATCACAATTTTCTGCTCATTTTTTCACAATAAGTTTAATTTAATAAACAAATTGAACGAATTGAACAAGATTAAACTAAAACGAACGATCGAAGAATAAGTAATTTTGAAGAAATTTTGGACTATCCACGATCTGACTTTTATCTCTCATAATAGTCTGGACAATAAAATAAAATTAATCATTGATAATAGCAAGTGCAATAATATGTCTATGTCCCATGAATAAAATATTCAAATTTATCTTAAACTATCTCATTAATGGTTGCTACTTCGCGAATTATTTTCGTATATAGTGATTGATGTTTTCTGTAGATGAAATAGCACACTACTTATTTAAAATATCCTGTACATAACATTCGCCAAAGATTTTTTTCGTACTAATATTGGACGAAGAAGTGATCAACATGAAGAAAGAATTAAACAACTTTTGGAATAAGGAATATCCATACGTAGTCGCTTTAGAAATTTTTCCATTATTATCTTCGATATACGTTATCATTATAGAAAATATCTACAATCAATCTATGTTCGAGCTCTTTACAATGACGATATTTCCAATTTCGAAACATCAGTGTTACATATCATGTTAAATAAAAATGCTGAAATACCTGACTTATCGTTCATGTTCCACGTGATAAATGATAAAATTAGTGAAGTCGATTTAGAAGGTGGAATTTTTTTCAATAGAGATACTAAATCGAAAATCTAATATAAATATAAATTTTTCAAGATAAAGACTAATCTCTGCATAGAAA